GGCAAAACGGAACCCTGTTCCATTTTGTCCCGTACCTATATGGTCCATTTCAGGCGCGGATCCACGGGCCCAATTTTTCCGGCCCGGCTATGGCAAGCCCTTTGTGTAAAAACTAGATAAACTCTGTTTTTCTCAGATAAACTCAGTTTATCAACAGATAAACACAGTTTATCAGAAAAACTCAGTTTATCAGTTGATAAACTCAGTTTATCAGTTAATAAACTCAGTTTATCAAGAAAAACTCAGTTTATCAATGATAAACTCAGTTTATCAACAGATAAACAGAGTTTATCAACAGATAAACAGAGTGTTTATCAGAAAAACTCAGTTTATCAGTTGATAAACTGAGTTTATCATTGATAAACACAGTTTTTCTGATAAACTGAGTTTATCTAGTTTTTACACAGTGGGCTTGCCATAGCCGGGCCGGTAAAATTGAGCCCGTGGATCCGCGCCTGGTCCATTTTGCCCCAATGACATATTTTTTAATAAAAGTTTGCGTAGAAAATACCTGAAGCATAGTTGGCATGCAAACAGGCGAGTCTAACGTTGATATCTTTATGATTAATATATACAAATATTTGATTAGAATCGATACCAAAATTACCAAATTTCAGCCATATGAACATCCCCTTACTTTAGATCATGAGGCTGTCATTTTTTGGACGGGATCTTACTCCGATGTGCCTCACTGTAACCGGATGAAAATTCAGTGCTGAAATTATTTTGGCATCTTCTCTTCTTCAAAGAATTTGCACAGAGGGCGACCTTTTTTAACATATGCTAATTTCAAAGTTCCATTTTGCCCCCCCCGGGTCCGTTATGCCCCACTTTCCCCTATATGGCTCACTTTTACTGATGGGGGGTCTGTCTCTCCAGACTTCTGTTTTCGGAGTCATGACTTAATTGGCTCACCTGTCTCAGCGAAGTGCTACTGTGCAAGATTAATTATATTTAATTTCCCTTCACTATTAGTCGTGCATTTTAATCATAAGGATATATTCCTTATGATTTTAATACTGATGATATTCAAACATTTCAAATATAATTCTAATCATAATATACTCACAGAGGAAAAGGCACTAGATCTATATGAACATTTCAAATCTGTTTGTAGCTTTAATATAATCTAGGAGGAATCTAAAATCCGAAAAATTCCCTAATAATTTTACTAAATCTAACGTATTATATTTCAATCGTCTTTGCATTATCCTTCTTTCTCTTTCATATTTCTTGCATTGTAGTAAACAATGCTCTATTGTTTCTGAAACCTTACAATGGATACCGTCCATCTTCATGTTGATTAATAATGTGCTGATAATAATTTAATTTGCATTTCCCTAGTCTCAACTGATGTATTATTACTTCCTCCTTTCTATTAAAACCTTGAATATCTTCTGTTTTTGTGACATTTGGCTGAATTCGCCGGCATAATTGTCTTCCATTAATGAAGACTCCCATTGAAATTGCCATATCTCTTTATAAACTGAAGACATGTGATTTGTCAACTCTTCCTTTATGTATAGAATTTCTAGTTCTATGTTTTCTTTTCGCGCTTCTTTTTTGGCTAGAGTGTCTGCTATTTCGTTTCCTCGAACACCGAAATGGGAAGGTATATATATCCACTCAAAGTTTATCTCTATGTCTGACATTTGTAGTACTTTAATTGTGTACATAATATCAGCAACAAGGGTATTTTGAACTTTTTGGCTGCTTTAATTCTAGAGCCTGAATTGCTGACAAAGAGTCTGTCAGGAAAACTACTGACATTCCTTTACTATCTTCAAGCCATTCCGATGCCATCACTATCGCTACTAACTGTGCCCTCATTATGTTTATTGATGTTAACTTATAACTTCTCGTTATGCCCAATTCTGGTATATAAAAACCAGATCCAGTGCTTTTGTCCTCTAGTTTAGATCCATCAGTGTATATTTTTAAATTACCTTTCCATCTTGTATGTATTCTTTCTAATACACAGTTCTTCATATCTGGAATAGAACTTTGTTTTTTATTAATAATTGTTCTACACGCGGGGAATTTTATACTCATTCTATTTTGGTGCGATCTGAATCTGAATCGGTACAACTCAACACTCCGGGTTCGTAATAGCGCGCGAAATCTTTGACCGCTCTGACCTCATGACGTCACGCGTCATGGCAACAGGACCTCTCAAAAAAGGGGGTGCTACGATAGACCGCGCTATCTCACTGCGGTGTGGATCCGGCGAATGCCAATGGGCGGACCGTGGGTCGCGCTACGATAGCGCGATCCACGGTCCGCCCACGGTCCCCCCTTGCGGTGTGAACACGCCCAATGACTGTCAAATACCCCATCTGTTCCCATAATTAAATATGCAGATGATACAGTAATAGGATTGATCATTGAGTGAAAATGAAAATGAATTTGATTACAGAGCTACCATTTCCATGTTCGAAAATTGGTGTAGGGAACACCCATTTACTGCTGAACTCAAAGAAAACAAAAGAAATCGTTTTTGACTAAGGCAAAAGAAATGTTTTGAACCCATTGACAGACCTGCATACTTTAATGATGGTACCATTGAGAATGATGAAAGTTATATATACATAGGCACAGAAATCGACAATGAGCTGTCTTGGGAAGACAAGTCAATTAAAGTACACCCTAACATAATGCAACCAGCGTATGTATTTTCTTAGAAAGCTAAAGTACTTTCATGTGAACGTTAGCATTCTGTTTCTCTTTTACCACTCGATCATTCAGAGTACTATTACATTCGATTCCATTATCTGGTTTAAAAATGCAAAGCAAACAAAAGCTGAGAAGGGTTGTGATACAAGCCAGCAGAGAGAAGAGTTCTAAACGAGACAAGAACGATAGAGAATGTAAAAAACTATGTACCGGTAAAATACCTTATACACATGTTACACGAACGTGATTTTTTTAGTATACTTACTTATACTAGTGTACCCCCTACTGTTTTACTACATCAAGAAATAACTAGAAAAAGTTAAAATACCTACTTCAGATTAGAGAATATGAGAATAAAAGAAAAGGGAGGGTATATAAGAAGAGAGAGTGAGGGAGAGAGAGGAGAAGAAGAAGAAGAAGAAGAAGAAGAAGAGGAAGAAGAAAGAAAGTATAAAGTATATTCATCATGATCATGTATATTTAGTGTAAAAACAGGGCCTTAAGACTAAATCAGAAACGAGGTTGAACAAATTTCAGACAAACATAAACTATGTGTTTATTGTGAAGAAAAAAATACAATTCACATGCATTAGTACTTACGATTGTCAATGATATGTTGTCCTTGTGAGATTACTGTGAAGCAAGATTGTAAATGTAAATATGAATAATTATCCTCTATGGACAAAATAAATGAAATGAAATGAAATGAAATGAACGATAAAACCTTAATTTCAAATAAGAGCTCCAGCGATAAAATGAAAGAAGAAAAAAAAAAGAGGATTTTAACCCCAAATCGTGGGGGACATTTCACCATCTGAAAATTCATGGGGGGGGGGGACGCGTTCCCCCGCTCCCCCGGGATTGACGCCCATGACTGTGAAGCAAGATTGTAAATGTAAATATGAATAATTATCCTCTATGGACTAAATAAATGAAATGAAATGAAATGAAATGAAATGAAATGAAATGAAATGACATGACATGACATGAAATGAAATGAAATGAATGATAACACCTTGATTTCAAATGAGAGCTCCAGCTATAAAATGTAAACAACCCCCCCCCCCCCACAAAAATAATAATAATAATACAATAATAGTAATAATAATACATAAATCATTTCAGATTGAAGATTGCAGTTTTTGATATGAATATCTTGTCAGCCTCTAGACTTCAAATGTTTGATCACCAAGAGGAGTTATTATTATTTCAATTCTTATCACCTGCAAATCATTATTTCTTTACCTATTTATATATTTTTGATAACAAATTTCAACAAGACAATATAATGAACACATGGCTGTTTTGCATTGTGGTCCTGTAACAAATCATACAGTCCGATGAGTTAACATTGAAAATAATAATGCATACAGAGAAACTATATACTAATTGATGAACGAAATATCAATAAAAAGTGTACTTACAGGATGTACATGGAAGTAAGTCATTTAACATGGAACTAAAATTAATTAAAAACAGAATATGAATATTTATTCATAATATATATAAATGGTTTGGAATTGTAGGGAGGGGGGGGGGGGGGGAAATGACTTTAATTTAATATGAATAAGAGTAAAAGTTGAATTTCAATAATTTGAAAAGGGTTGTATAAATTTGTATAATCAGAATTGAATATATGTATACCTGTACATTAACAACTTTGTTCACCAGTATCCCTTCTTATAAATCTGTAAAGTTTAATTTTAGTAACACAATCCCTTAGAAGGTTATATTGTCAATCAGATTATATTCTCAGGCAACTACTTTTTCTGCAGTATGCATGCTATGTATGTACAAGTCCTTGTTTATATACACATCATATAATAAATACATTACTACTTAAGTCAAATTATATAAAGTTTATATCTACTGTGGCAGCACATTTCATCCACTAAGAACTTAAAGGTCGTCAGTTTCCATGCGTAGTAGGTCATAATCCGCTGACACCAGACTTGGTGGAAATACTATTAATGGGTGTACTAGTCTCGCACACAGCAAACAAATGTCCCATCAAGAAATTTGTTGGTAGTAATCAAAAGAAATTTCACAGAGTAGTTATTTTGCAATTGATCAATTATAACATTCAACATGCATTTCTTATTTTCATCTGCCTTTTCATACATGAAAATGTCCCATACGTCACACTAATTAATATTTATTTTGAATAATTAGCATAGGATTCCATAATCACACAGTTTTTTCAAAAAATAGGCTGCAAAGCCCTTTGAAGATTACCAGAAGAAAAAGGAGAATGAAAGGATCATAACAGTTACGGTTTCAGCTTTAAAATGACAAACATACAATTTGCAATATTTTACTGAGTTTTACTAGGGGAGGATGTCTTGAACGTGCTCACCCGATTCCGAAGGCTCTTCTTTGCTGCATGTGTTTTCACGTCGGATCAGCTCACCATTGGTTCTGTACCTCTTCTCGCACTGGGAGCATGTGGGAAGCTTACTCCCAACGCGTTTACGCCTGGTAGACAGCATCTTCTTGCATTGCCCACATCTATGGCGCGCGATCCCAACGTGTTTACTCATGTGTACAGAGAGGGCAAATTTAGAGGGATGTTTCTTCATACACTTGGGACAAGCATAAGAACTCTCGTCAAAATGTGTTTTCATGTGGGTATACATGGATGTAGAGCTAGTAAATGACTCATAACACTCAGAACATTGAAGATAATCTTCCTCAGGGTGTGCCGACTTGGTATGACTCCTCAGATCTCGCTTGAAATTGAATCCCTTATTACAGAAAGAGCACTGGAAGGGCTTTGGGGCAGTGTGTTTTCGCACGTGTTTATTCAGATTACTCTTGAGGTAGAATCCTCTATCACACTTTGGACATGGGTGAGGTCTAGGGGTGGTGTGTCCTTCCATGTGTTTCTGAAGATTACTCTTGGAGTAGAATCCTCTGTCACACTTTGGACATGGGTGAGGTCTAGGGGTGGAGTGTCCTTCCATGTGTTTCTGAAGATTACTCTTGGAATAGAATCCTCTGTCACACTTTGGACATGGGTGAGGTCTAGGGGTGGTGTGTCCTTCCATGTGTTTCTGAAGATTACTCTACGAGTAGAATCCTCTGTCACACTTTGGACATGGGTGAGGTCTAGGGGTGGTGTGTCCTTCCACGTGCTTGTTCAGATTACTCTTGAAGTAGAATCCTCTGTCACACTTTGGGCATGGGTGAGGTCTAGGGGTGGTGTGTCCTTCCATGTGTTTGTTCAGATTACTCTTGAAGTAGAATCCTCTATCACACTTTGGGCATGGGTGAGGTCTAGGGGTGGTGTGTCCTTCCACGTGCTTGTTCAGATTACTCTTGAAGTAGAATCCTCTGTCACACTTTAGGCATGGGTGAGGTCTAGGGGTGGTGTGTCCTTCCATGTGTTTGTTCAGATTACTCTTGAAGTAGAATCCTCTGTCACACTTTGGGCATGGGTGAGGTCTAGGGGTGGTGTGTCCTTCCACGTGCTTGTTCTGATTACTCTTGAGGTAGAATCCTCTGTCACACTTTAGGCATGGGTGAGGTCTAGGGGCGGTGTATCCTTCCATGTGCTTGTTCAGATTACTGTTGAAGTAGAATCCTCTGTCACACTTTAGGCATGGGTGAGGTCTAGGGGTGGTGTGTCTTTCCATGTGCTTGTTCAGATTACTCTTGAAGTAGAATCCTCTATCACACTTTGGGCATAGGTGAGGCCTAGGGGCGGTGTGTCCTTCCATGTGTTTCTGAAGATTACTCTTGAAGTAGAATCCTCTGTCACACTTTGGGCATGGGTGAGGTCTAGGGGTGGTGTGTCTTTCCATGTGTTTGTTCAGATTACTCTTGAAGTAGAATCCTCTGTCACAATTTGGGCATGGGTGAGGTCTAGGGGTGGTGTGTCCTTCCACGTGCTTGTTCAGATTACTCTTGAAGTAGAATCCTCTGTCACACTTTGGGCATGGGTGAGGTCTAGGGGTGGTGTGTCCTTCCACGTGCTTGTTCAGATTACTCTTGAGGTAGAATCCTCTGTCACACTTTAGGCATGGGTGAGGTCTAGGGGCGGTGTGTCCTTCCATGTGCCTGTTCAGATTACTGTTGAAGTAGAATCCTCTGTCACACTTTGGGCATGGGTGAGGTCTAGGGGTGGTGTGTCTTTCCATGTGCTTGTTCAGATTACTCTTGAGGTAGAATCCTCTATCACACTTTGGGCATGGGTGAGGGGGCGGTGTGTCCTTCCATGTGCTTGTTCAGATTACTCTTGAAGTAGAATCCTCTATCACACTTTGGACATGGGTGAGGTCTAGGGGTGGTGTGTTTCCGCACATGTTTATTCAGATTACTCTTGAAGTAGAATCCTCTGTCACACTTCGGACATGGGTGTGGTCTAGCTAGGGCGGTGTGTCTTTCCATGTGTGTCTGAAGATTGTTATGAAACATGAATTCCTTCTGACATTCAGAACACTTGAAAGGCTTCTCACCACTGTGTCCCCTCATGTGCTTCTTAAGAGTCTTTGCATACAGAAATTCTTCATCACACTCGCCACATTTCTGATGTTGTTGGTGTTTCTTCATGTGCTTATCGCGAGACTCCTTATACGTGAAAGCCTGATAGCACACAGAGCAGTCGTACTGCTTGACCCTAGAGTGGCTGTTCATATGCACTTTAAACGCTATTTCAGACTCGTATGACTTGTCACATGTGGTACACTGTCATCGCTTTCCGTGGTTGTATTCCTCCATATGCCTCACCAAATATTCTCTTTTCCAATATCCTCTATTACACTGTGGGCAGTCATAACGCCTTAGACCAGCATGGTTTTTGAGGTGTCCCCGTAGGTCTCTCTTACGTGTGAATTTATTATTGCACTCTGGGCATCTGAAATGCTTTCCAACTATATACATATGTCTTGTAAGTCCACATTCTGAAATGAACCCCCTTTCACATGAAGGGCAAGAATGTGGATATAGACCAGTGTGTTCTTGTGTTTGTTAAGGTTATACGTACGAGTGTATCCTTTCGCACATATCGGACATAATATGAACATGGGCCTTCCATTGCGGATTTCTATTCTTGGGGGCCTTTCTCCTCCCTCATCAGATTTAGAGGACAACTCTTCCTTACCCTTAGAATTCTGGCGAGGATGTTCCGCTACGACTGATCAATGAACAGGCAGATTTCTTTCTTGTGCATGCTCTTGAGGGGGTTGACTACATGAAGCAGAACAACAACGTTGATCTTTTTCTCTGTGTTTATCTTGATGTCTCCTCATAAGAGAATGCGGGTAGAATTTCTCTTCACACTCAAAATATTTGTGATATTTTTCATCGTTATGGATTCTCAAATGTTTAAAAAGGAGAGCTTTGGAGGGTAATCCTGCAAAACAAGTGGAGCAGCGAGCTACTTCCCCTTCTTTACTCTTGTTCCTAAGAACTCTTGCAAATTGAGATATGGCAGCAGATCTTAATTGATGTACGACCATAATATGGCAATGAATGCTCAATGCTCTGAACAGTATTTGCTCTGTATTCTCCATTTTCTTGCTTCACGTCTCTCAATAGAAGTTTCCTGAGTTCTGATTGGGGATCAATCGATGTCTTACGTTCACCCTCTCCCACTAGAAGGTTGTTTGGTCTGCACAGATCTGTAAAGGAAATAACAATTATAATATACATGTAACTCTTTTTATCAACACTTTTTATCATTTTTATATAATTGAAAATATTCATATAAATATGTTGTTTTTTGTTCTCTTGGGTTACTCTCAGAAGCCTGTCGGGATATTGGAACGAGTGTAGGCATTTCTGAGGAAGCAGTGGACGGTCCCTTGCTGATGTCATTATTCGTTGCAGGATCGATCTTGAGGGGTAATTCCAGGGGTGTGGTCACCGGTAGTAATTACTGGTGGAGGGGGGGGGGGGGGAGATAACAGCCGGACTGGTGGTAGGAGTGGTAGAAGATGACTAAAATGGTGAAATTATATCAATATGGAATAAGAGGTATCGGTTTAGATCTTTTTAAAATTATTGGTTACATCGTCATCAATTTGTTTCTATTGCTAATGTAACATCAAATTACCAAGAAATCAAATGTGGAGTACCTTAAGGATCCATATTAGGCCCATTACTGTTTATTTGTATATATCAATGATCTTCCTAGTGTGTCGAAAATGTTAAAATCAATTTTATTTGCCGACGATACAAGCATTTTTTTATCCAATCGAAATATACAATCACTTCAAGATATATCTAATCGAGAAATTAGGTTAATAAACACATGGTTTTCTGTAAATAAATTGTCAATTAATATAAGTTAGAAACATTACATGATTTTTACTAATAAAAAATGTGACACTGTATCTATTATTATTATTTCGTTGTGTAATACAGAAATTAAACAGGTCTCCTCACTTAAATTTCTTGGCATAACCATTGATAATAAGTTGAAATGGACTGATCATATAAATGCTGTTTGTAATGTATTATCGAAAAATATTGGTGTTATGTATAAATTAAAATCATTCCCTAAATGTATATTGAAGATGATATATAACAGTTTGATATTACCATTTTTGTATTATGGAATACTTGCATGGGGGAATGCACATGAAACCCATATAAGGAAATTAATTTTATTGCAAAAACGTGCAATTCGTACTATTTTTCATACTTCTTATCTTGCTCATTCACATCCACTTTTTAAAGAATTGAAAATATTGAATTTTACTGATATGTATAATTATCAATGTGCAATATTTATGTTCCAGTGCTATTTACAAATCCTTCCCAAATCACTTTTAAAACGTTTTATACTAAATTGTAATATACACCACTATAGTACTAGACATGCTGAGAATTTTCACTTGCCACTTGTACATACAACTTCATATAAACGTACAGTAATATTTAATGGACCTTGCTTATGGAGTACTATACCTCGTAAAATACGTGACTTGAAATTTGTTAACACTTTCAAACGTAAATACAAAAAATACTTGATGGACGTATATTGATATTAGCTACTAGGCGTTGTGGCGTGCGCCTGTAATCCAGCTATAAGTGGAAGTTACAAACTGATTCAGCCGAGGACGCAGGTTCGAAACTGAGTCACGTCTTTCGGATGGTGACGTTTAAAGGTCGGTCCCCAGACGTAAATAATCATATCTGATTGATACACGTCTGTAAAAACCCAATACACACACATACACACGCATATTTTAACGGTTGTTAAATTCATTATATTTTACATGTAATTGTTGTTTGGTTCACTTTTTATTACAGCTTAACTTTTTATATTTGATTACTTGGTCAGCCGCATACAAGGACCACCTCCTTTCTGGCTGCTACCAGCATTAGTAATTTCCTTTGCATTATTCATGTTTGTAAATTGATTCTGTGTATTTCTGTGTTTATCTATGTTAGTAATTGTAATTGTGTGAAACTTTGTATACTGCTTTTGTTTTACCCTGTATGTTTTTTATTGCTTGGCAAAATAAATTTAATTGAATTGAATAAGGCTTCAACCTCTCTCGGTACAGGTATATCAATTGTTCTCGTTTGGAGGTGATGTCTCGTGTAGAGTGCAACTACGCCTTCTGGTCGATCCTCTCTGGATCTTGAATGTAAGGTAAACTCTAATAATGCAAACATATCTAGTGGTATATCCGGGCTAAACCACGTTTCAGTGGTGGCTGCTATGTCCACCTTGTGTTCTTCGATGATTAGGGATAATTCGTCGAGCTTGTTCCTCAACGAAGGTTTTTTTTTCGGGGGGGGGGGGTTGGCGTGGTTATATTGTCTGCAAGGTATAGAATCGCAAAATATAAATCAAACGCTCGTGCAATACCTAGGGAGCCTTAATGTTACGACATTTCTATTACAAATAGTTTTGAACCTTCCCAACAACAAACCTAAATAATATTCCAAGTAGATTTTATTATCTAGTTATGAGAAGAAAACTGGGAAGAATTTTTTGCATTAGCCTTAGGCCTACGTATATGTCAATACATTGCGATATGAGGTGTATTTGAACTTAGCTGTGTTTGTGCATTTCAATACTTATAATAGTACATTTTTCTCGAAAAATCCACAATATTCCTCCCCGGTGATTTGAGTTCCCCACTACAGGCAACCATTTATACGCATTAAAGCGGATAGATATTCATTCGTTGTGATACATACTGGAATTCATACGAACTCCCTCGACTGAATAAAATCAGCTGACGGTAATTTAAAACCCCTGAGCTTCTGGAGGCTCCGCCCCCTGGGCCCCACGCCAATTCGAGACCTGCCAGTGTCACAAATAAGGTATTAAGATATGCTCAGCTGACGGTAATTTAATGTATAAAGCCCCTGAGCTTCCGGGGGCTCTGACCCCACGCCAATTCGTGATCTGCAAGTGTCACAAATAAGGTATCAAAATATGTTCATCTGACCGTAATTAAATGCCTATACTCATAACCTTCTGGGGGCTCCACACCTTGACCCCGGCCGGGGCTTCGCCCTTAGACCCCACGCTAATTTACGCTAAGCTCTACCTGATCGTAAATACCCCCCCCCCCCCCCCCACCAAATTAGAGAAACGTTCAGCGGGGCCTGCATGTAGGAGTGGGGTAATGCGGATTTTTCGTCTACATCCAGACGTTTTTTCTCATTTCGCCACTGCCGGTGTCACCATTACGTACCAATATTTGGCTCGCATAATTTCAAATTTGGCCCCCCCCCCCCAAAGAAATCGTGGATCCGCGCCTGCTTGGCATTACAGTAAAGCGTGAGCGCATGTCACCTTGCGCCCATGCTGGCCTGGCCGGGCATCCTTTAAACCCTAAACCCTCTTGAACTTCATAGAATACCAAGGTAATCAATCGCCCCTTGATAAAAACAATAATGTATTCATAATTATGTATCGATCGGCGTGAATACATTTAATATGAAAGTAGTTAATAGGGTGAGTGTTGAACGGTTGAACAACATTAATGCTATAGAATTATTTCCTGGACCTAAACAGATTTAGTTCTTTTAGTAGACCTCTGATCTACATTTCCACAGAATATAAATCAAGTTTCATTTAAAATTATTGCTTTTCTTCTTTTTCAAGGAATTAATTGTTGTATGGATTTCAAATGTAATTATGATTTGTATAAAGTTTGCTTAGTATATATTATAATGATATTTGTATTTTGTTGGAAAATGAAAACAAACAAATAAAATGAATGGATTTTTTTTGGAAAGAAAATCATATTTGGTTTGAATCAAGGAACATTAAATTTTTTGTCCATGTTTGCTTCCTCTGTGATTCGGCCTGCCCGAACACATTAAAAGGCAGTGGGTTTTCCATACTTGGAAGGCATATACAGTCATGTAGAAAGAATTATGGTAATGCCGTGATATAGCTTTTTTTGTGTCTCCCTGTATTTGTGAAGCTTTCTAGGCCCATCCTTTTCTCATGATCTTCTTCAGGACTCATGTATATAGTTGACAGGTTTATATTGAAGTTCATATCGGTGCTTTGTGTTAATCTGTATCATTCATTTCTGAGTGGTTCCTCAGCGAAATGTGGAGTGATCATTGATACTGTTTTGCGTATATGTGTGAGAATCACGTTATCTTGCTCCTATGCGTGTTTGTATTTAATTCCTATATTTGCTTTCTCTCTCCCTCTATCTAGCTCCCTCCCCCCTCTCTCTCTCTCTCTCCTTCTTGATTGTTCTCATCTTTCTCCGTCCAATTACACCACGTCCTTTTCCTCCTACTCACACTTTCCAATCCAATTCTCTCTCTCGTTTTCTGTGTAAAGCGCTTTGCCCTCTTTCTTTCTATCATGTTGCCCACCTCTTATCCGACTGATTCCAGTTTAGATGAATAAAGCTCTGAGGCGATAATTCTAAATGTACATGGCTTTCATAATTCTTTTATTCAATTTCTTGCAAAAAATCGCCTTCTGCTCTTTCTCAACAACAAGATAATTTTGAATTCAAGAGTTCAATCAGTTATAGATCGAACTTTTTCATTTAAACACATGAACTAAGACATTCTATTACCATTGTGTATTCTTCTGAAATTGCGTATATTTATGATTATGTAGACACATACAGTTAACACAATAAACCACTCTGATACAGTCAGTATGGATAAAAGTAGAAGGGAATATTACATTTCCTTCAATTTACAATTTCCCAGGCTTATGAGGAAAATAGCGACTAGTAAATATGTTATGTCTTGAAATGTCTGAACTTCTGAGAAATCTGAGTGTTGATTCTACATAGATATTTCCTGTTACAAATAGATATCTTAGGTCACGGTTGGTTCACTAAATTATTGATATCTCAATGATGAGACTTACTATGGTTAGTCTAGATGAAACACTATTTATGCTGATTAATCTCACAAAATAAAAGATAGAAATTGATGAATAATAACAATGTAATTGGATGAGCCGTATATATCTGTCCTGCCGGACAAATAACACCAACGTTAATGTTGTCCTCCTGGAGCTGACTATCGATTAGGTCTTAGAACAGCTAGCTGCACACACAAAAATATTTTACCAAATATAACAAAACATCTCAACTCAACGAACATAAAATCCATATAACTATGGATGTAGGTGTACGACATAACAAATATAACCTAATAAGTTGCTTATCACATATTGTAACAATAATTTAATCAAATGACATGCATTTAATATATTCTGTAATACTTACTGGTTAGATAAATGCATGGAATTGTTGTCTTTACAGTTACTGATGAGATAGTTACAAGCATTGTTTGTTCTTGCAACACATTCCATATTTCACTAGTCCTACTTAACACTCGTCACATGTATTTTTTGTTTACACTTTATTCACATACAAAAATTTACACTCTCATATATTTTTGCAAAATAAATTCAGATATAAAAAAACGTTTGTGGAAAGACGTGAATGAATGCAATGTGATTCCTCAGCTGAGAACAGTATACATGTATATATATATATATATATACATAGTCAATACATTCCAGATATCAACAAAAAGAGGGATTAACACTTTGCTTTTAGATGATTCCAGATTTTATCAAAGCAAGAACAACAATGTTTTAAATAAAAACAGCTCGAACAAAGAGAATATAACGTAACACACATTGAAAGATTGCACTTCTCTTTTCCATATTTAGGTGCACTACACACAAACTGGCAAATCATTACAACTCAGGTAATAATGGAAACGATTATTACAATATAGACATAAATGGAAATATATTTATAATAGAGTATAAATTGATAAGATGTAATGGTTTAAACATTGTACAGAAGCGATATATGTTTTATTAAATAAAACCAGTTGGAGTTGTTATTAAACAATCAACAGAGAGTTTGGATTTGTTCAAATTCACTTCAGTTCAGTTCGGTTTATTTCATATTTCAGGTTACACATTTTCAGCTTTATTTACAAGAAATTTAATGATAGTAACAGTACAGACGTATTTTGAATACATGTAAGTTCTAAAATATATCAAATCACTTTGATGTTTTTGTAGTTACTTGTAAATAAAGGACTTCAGTAAAATTGGAAATGAAGGAGCCCAAGTTAAAACATAGCTTGTTGCTTGTAGGCTGTATATTGTATACTGCAGATTGTATTGCATAGATTGATTTAAAGCCCCACTGCACTACTTGCGCCCTCTATATAGCAATCCATGCCAAATCGGTGCCTGTTGGTTCCCCATGATCCCCTTTTTTAAATGTTAATTGAGAGCTGATTTGATGAGATAACCACCTGTCAATGATCTTTCAGGGAGGTCTAATCCCTCCTGGCTAAACAGTGCAGACGGGATTTAACATAATAATCCATCTTCACCAGGAGGCCTCGTTTTTTTTTTATATTGATAATGAGGGCACACAAGGCGTCAGGCCTTTGCTTATCTTGGAGCTCCATATGCGCCAACTATAATTATAAAGTTATTCATCAAAAGTATTAAGACAGGGTAAAGGGTACTTGCTCCCTCTATATAGAAAACTTCCCCAATCGGTGCCTGTTGGTCCCCCATGATCCTCTTTTTCTTATGTTAGTTGAGAGCTGAGTTAATGAGATAGCCACCTGTCAGTGACCTTGGTGTGTGGTCTAATCCCTTCTGGCCCAGTAGTATTGACGGTCTTTAAGATACTGTACACATTTTAACTCTAATGATCCTTCAATTAGTATACTAGTAATTAGTTATTTGGGTAGACTGGTTACGTCCACATTCGACAGGTTTCATCTTCAAGGCCGTAGTAGTCTGCTGCCATCACGTGGTCTAATGAGGGTCACCTTCTAATGTGTTCAAAATGTTGCTACGTTGTAGCTTGATGGCGAACCACATTTTATTCATCACCATTGATCACCATTCATCAATTTCCTAAGAATACAAGAAATCATTTATACATATAAAAACTAGGTGTAAATGAAAAGAATACAAAAGTACCATTCAAAGAAACAATGTATGTTCTGGAAAAAATAGATATTGCATTATTGTAAGAAGCATGTTTTATCCATCTACCTTTTGTCATGTGGCTGAGTGAAGTTTAGTTTTGCTAAGATGCATGCTACATGATAATTTGAAACATTTCTAAATAAAACATAAGGGAAAATGTCCATCTTTTCATCAGAAATTAAGGTCATATCGCTTTTTTTTAAAAGAGGACAAAGTACAATGAGCGTTTTTGACTTATACATCATATACATGAAGAAAAAGTACTTTTTCACTAAAAATGTTCATATAGTTGTGAAGAGCCTTTTTCTCTATGTTCGTTATATTTCAGTTTTCATATATCATTACACAGATCAAGAACAAACCTATTGCTAGACGTGATCATTTAATCAACCAGAATTAACACAAAAGACAGCTTAAATTATGTGCATTGTTTATTCTTGGGTACCGATTGGGCGGAGTTAAATATGGATAATTAAAAAAAAAAAAAAAAAAAGCCTACTTTAAATCGATGGAATGCCAGAAAAAGGGAGAAGAATCAATCGGAGGATGGCCATGTAATCTAGTGTTATATCTTACCGGACCATGCGTCACGGTGACAGTCACCTTGCCTTCACTGTTCACCTCAGAAATCAGTGGATCCAGATCCGCATTGGTAAAACACTGATACAACCTATAGTAATAAAACAGTACATTTCGGGGGCTCAATTCATGATCTTTTGAACAAATCTGACGTATGATACTCGCTTAAAAAGCCATCAGAGATGTATGCTATGTGGTGTGAGAATAGATAACAATTACACATCCAACCTTGCATAATATTGCTCTGTATTTATATTGCATGACTGCAAAAAACCATGGTATCAACATTGTGTATATAGGATACATCATGATAAAATCAGATTAAGTATTGATTTAAATTTATAATAAGAAAATTGTATATTGATATGAATAAATCCTGAAATGAAGAGATCATCAGATTATGTAAACTATTGTAAAATCCCCTATACAGCACCCCATCATCTAATCTTTTAGACAACCCACTCATGTATGCACTTTATTAATCATCTGAGATTCATTTCAAAACCTTAATGCAGCTATCTCTGACCCCGCATAAAATCAAATTCAGTGACAAAGACGATAGGTTGCTTGTTGGGCAGAGTATTTTGCCAATTCAGTTTCCTTTTGATATCAAGAACCAACTGGGTTAAATCAACGCTAGTTTTCCTCTTATGAGATCAAACATAATCATGTATCTCATCTGCATCAATACTGTGTAAGTGTACGGCATAAAAATACGCTTCAAACCATCTCTTTTACAAAGAGTCGTTGTATGATAGCGAAAGAGGCGACGATAAAGAGAGTCGAAGAGAGGAAATGCAGGAAAGAGAGTGGGAGGAAGGAATCAAAAGAGAACTTAGAAAAGAGAAAGAAAAATAATTAAATGAGAGGGACATATATTTAGAGAGAGAGAGAGATAGAGGTAGCAAATGAAGAGAAGAAACTCAGTCAAAAGTAAACCGAAATGCGTTCCACAATAAATACAAGTCAGAGTTTGATTATACTGTGGCAATCGTTACCCTGTTAAATCAAATGAGACTCACCATATGCTTGTCAGGTGTGGATGAGTCTTCATTAGTTGGATGATCTCGGTTGCCTTATCGTTGTTCAGTGCAATGAGCCAAAGGCACAGATTGGTGAGTAGAGGACATGATGTTTTAACCGCATCACAAAATGACACAGGATCATTTAGTGTGGTTTTTCCCGTGATATGAAGTTGAGTTAGATGATGGAATGGAGAGCAGGCCATTGAGATGATTCCTGATGAGACATTCTCCTCTTGCGGGTAGTTCAGTTCGAGTTTTTTCACTCGGGGACATGATGTATGAAGTCCAAGATTCCACAGGCTGATCACATCCTTACCATCCACAGAAAGCTCTTCTACTGAGGATGTTTGACGAGTCTACAAGAAACAGTAATGCAAAAAGGCTCACTATATATGATATGAATGGAAACCAACGCCAATGTAAGAAATGATATTGATTTATCTAGACACATTATTTTTTAATATAATACTGTTACTGTTCATATCATGCTTGGTAAATATATCACAAATATATAATAATGAAAACTAAAGGGTTTTCATCAATTCAATGTAAGTTGCCTAAGTAGAAATAAACAAACGGGTAGGTTTGGAGAAAATGAACAAAGAATACAAAAGTTTTGAACTTTTGGGATGCCAAGATTATAAATGATATAAAGAATCTTCTATTGGCGTCACAGTCACATGCCTTATGCCGTTCCTGATGAACTATAACCAATTTTTTCCAAAATATTAAAAATACCTCTCTGTTTTCCAATTCAGTGATCCAGCAGATTATGTTCCATTAGGCCTGCACGTGTGTTGCCCTCCATAAATAGAGGTTTGTCTATCACAAGACTTTGGAAGAGATATTTTAGGTATTTTGGATCCAAAATATTAAAGAGGATTTCCCCCTGTATCATCCTGATCGCATTGGCGATATGAGTCTTTGTATATCATTAGCATTATCGACATTCAAAATTTCTTAATTTCTTTTATTCTTTGTTATTAATGAGGGTTCATCCTGCTTTTTAAGTGGAAGATGACCAGATTTTAGTATTCATTTTCATCTTTTGTTATTGTGATATTCGTCTATTTTGTGATCATCTTTTTTATTGTGATATTAGTTCAGCTAGACTAACAAAAAAATCAATAAAATGACTTCACATTACTGAAAGTTACAAATTTGATGATGAAGAAAATAAGCAACAGATTCTCCATGGGAAATAACAAATGGCAATCATTTATCAATCAATATTTAACGAGCTTTAATAAATATGTGCAAGGTTAAACTTCATCCCAAGTTGAAAAAACTATAACTGTGTATGTATATATTTGATATACATAACTATCAAACAATTTACTAAACAGCCCGTAGTATGACGTTTTAACTTGATTTCAAAACAAGATACATTATCCTTCTGGCAATTCCTTTAACATTCATATTTATTTTTAAAGTTTTTCTGAACCCCTTCCTTATGACCTTTGAACAAAAAGAGGATTTTTACTTCAATCTTGGAATAGTAAAGATACATACCAGTGTCTCGATTTCTCCATCGTCCATGTCAACTCGTCTGATACCCCCCAAGGTGAGTGACTGGAGGCGTGGTAGCGAGAGAATGGAGTGTAGTCTCCGTGGAGTCATGGAAACATCCTCAATACTCAGCGTCTGGATCTGTGCCAAGATAATTTATCAGTTCACACCAAAGTGAAATCCACGATGTGATGCAATTATTGTCTTTACCAACATCTTTACCAACATAAACACCTTTATAAATCACAGAAAATATCAGATGAATCTGCATCTCAGTATTGAACTTAATCATTCACCAAGTCTTGTCTCAATTTTTGCTATAGTTTAAATGAAACAAAGTACCGGTATTATAATAAACAAAAAAGCATTTCAATATGCATGGCATGATTTGATTTGAAAAGAGGTACTTAAGCTATTGTATTGGTGGGAAGATATTACATCAAAATGATATCTTCAAGAGAGTATGTTATACCTTTTCCCCTTTGTTTTCAGTAGGCTTATTTCATCTGTTTCCTTCAACGTGGATTAGTAAGTATTTTATTAGTTCTTCTACATTCACTAGATACAAAAGGACACTCGCATGAGTAAATATTGCTTTCAGATATGTGATGCATCTGTCACTGGACAGGCAAACGAATTGACATTGTGCCATATTATTGATATCAGGTAATTTTACAAGAAAATTGTGAGAACAGTCTTCGACAATAGTTGTTACCTGATTTCTTGGTCATGTGAACTATGGTTAAAATCATTAAAAGGACGGGTGAAATCCAAATATAAGTTGATTCCTGTTGATGTGCAGGGCTGCATAAAACTCATATCTTGTTATTCAAAACATCTAAATATATTTCATAGAGTTTTAAATATTTAAAAAAATAATTTTCTCAGACCTACTAAGCTCCACCCTGAACAAAATGCTCCAGATCTCATTCATCTGGTGACATCATCTTCCAATCATTAGTGAGCTAACAAGAGACAGTGGTATGTAGCTTCACCAAAGCTGACCACCTGTTTACAATATACCATACAATACCAACATAGGAGTTGCTATGTCAGACGTGCTGTAGCATCACCAGGAAAAGAAAGGTAATGTGGAGGTATGTATACAAGAATGCAATTATTTTGTGAGCATGTGCTGAGTTGGGGAAAGTTACATTTACTATCAATGAGGGGTCATCATTCTCCTTAAATGAGCATGTAATGGTTCTTACTTCTCGATACTTTTCAGAAAATGAGAACAATTATCATATCTCTCTATCTGATGAGCGAGATATTTTGGAAATTACTAAGAAAGACCAATAAGTGATAAATACAAGAAAATATTACTCTAGAAATAACATTGACAGCAAGCTTGAGAGAGAATGAGAGAGAGAGCTTAGAGAAAAATAAGTAAGAAAAGGAGAAATGAGACTTGAAGAAAGAGATGGGAGGACAAGAGCAAATAGAGAAAGCTACATAGGAACAAAGTTGAGTTATAGAGAGACGCACTCCATTCTAATACAGAAAAAGAAGTACTATTGTGTCATCCTTATGTTCGAAAGCGGGACAAAGATCCCCTCTCCCCTCCCTGAAACAAAAAGATGATGTACATGTAGAAATTACCACTATAGTGGCTCAGACCATTGTCAATTAAGACTAGGAGCAGCATCGCCCAAAAGTGTAGATGTGTAGATTGTACCAAGATACATCTCCATACAAAATTTGTGAGAAATCTGTCATGAAATATGACCTGCAGATCGAGCGTACACTAGACACCCACCAAAATATGACCTTTGACCCTATAACAGACGAACACAGGTGGCACCACCACCAAACACTAAAGAAGTGTAGATTTGACTAAGATACATTCTCTATACAAAATTTGAAAGAAATCTGTCAAGAAATGTGGCAGTATAACAGCGCACAAAGGGGACAAATGACCTTTGACCCTATAAAGGATGGAACAATGAGGGCAGCATCACAGAAAAGTAAAGATGTGTACCAAGATACATTCTCAATACAAAATTTGAAAGAAATCTGTCAAGAAATGTTGCAGTAATATAGAGCGCACACTAGAATATGACACGGCGGCATGCTGCTAGCTGTGAATCCAAAGTATCCTCCGGCATACTGCCCGGGGATACATTAATCTGTAGTTCAAAAAATAATATTCTAGAATGACTTAAATGACTGAAAGTGAGAATCAATTGAATTTATATAATCATGATACTGAAGTCAATTAAATTCAAATGATTCACTTCCATGATTGACAGCATGGTCAGACTATTGTTTTATAATGAGCGTGATTTTGATTATTAACCAAATATTATTTCGAAAAAAAGTGTGAAATAGCATTATGTTTAGTTTGGAGAATGCACAAAATTTTGAAGGAAATCGTTTCCAATAAAAGGGAGAGCGAAAAAAAAAACTAAGAGACATTGCTGTGGTACAAGCAAAAAAATACAAACAAATAAAATAGTTGAAAAGGAGACCATGTCTTGTCAAGCAAAATAACATGTTATAGCTATCTATATAATATTGTGCATGTAATATTTTATTGGGACAATGAATAATCGACACACAAAAAAGAGGAATACTAGGCCTATCTACAGGATATCATATGCGCTTAAAAATATGCGTTTATATCCGTCTATTTGTATGCACATTTAAAATCAATTTCTGGTGACTATTGACAAAATTTAAATAATTTCTAAAAATACATAATGTGAAGTACTATTTGTAGGAAACGTGCTTTAAACAGGCATTTATATGAATTTATATCATTATCACATTAAAATCCAGTATATTGTGCATGTAATATCTTATTGGGACAATGAATAATCGACACACAAAAAAGAGGAATACTAGGCCTATCTACAGGATATCATATGCGCTTAAAAATATGCGTTTATATCCGTCTATTTGTATGCACATTTAAAATCAATTTCTGGCGACTATTGACAAAATTTGAATAGTTTCTAAAAATATAATGCGATGTATTATCTGTAAGATACATGCTTTAGTACCGTAAGCATTTTTTTGAATGTATATCATTATGACATTAAAATTCAGTCTATTCACATGACTCATGCTTCTTATTCTCAGTATTGTAAGAGTATTATATTGATATTAGCATGATAGTGACTACTGAAAATAAAATGATTTCTATTTCTTTTTTTAATTGTGAAAAACATTTATCCACATATTCTATGTTCAGTTTGAAGATTGCAAAACTATTGAGGGAAAATATTGTTTCCAATAAAAATCGTATTCAGGTACATGTATACCTTTGATTTTGATGCCTCAGAGGCCATTGTTGAGTAGAACTCATCACATAGCTCCACATGGCAAAGAATCAGTGATCGAAGATAAGGCATGGAGCAGAGACCTCTCGCGTAATGAGAGGATGCACCAGAACCCAGATCTGCTTCCAAGTGCATCAGCATCTCAATCTAGAGAGGTGACAGGACAGGTTGAATATAGAGTGAATAGTATTATCAAGTATGGACGACATGTCTAATATTTAAATATTTTTCATTATCATTAATGTAACATCATTAACCTCTACTAAGATTTTTAAAGTAAGGAGAAGGGAAAGGGAAAGAGAAAAGGAGAGAGAGAGAGAGAAAGAGGGGGAGAGCCACAGAGAGACATAGACAGACAGAGACAAAGGGAGAGAGAGAGAGAGAGACAGACAGATAGAGATAGGGAGAGAGACAGAGAGATGGAGAGAGGGAGAGAGGGAGAGAAACAGACAGAGAGATAGAGATAGAGAAAGATAGAGAGAGACAGACAGACAGAGACAGGCGGAGAGAGACAGACAGAGATGGGGAGAGAGACAGAGAGAGGGAGAGAAACAGATAGAGAGATAGAGAAAGGGAGAGAGACAGAGACAGAGGGAGAGAGACAGACCGACAGAGAGATAGAGAAAGGGAGAGACAGACAGAGAGAGACAGAGATAGAGAGGGAGAGAGACAGACAGAGACAAAGAGATAGAGAGAGACAGACATAGAGAGAGAGAGAGGGAGAGAGACAGACAGAGGCAGAGAGAAAGAGATAGAGATGATTTTGATTAGTTACAGTCAACCTTACTGGCCCGAATTCACAAAGCAAGGTTTGAGCTCAAACCTCCTTTTGTTTCGCCAAACCTCCTTTTGTTCTTTACAAACCAGGTTTGTAAAAAACGCGTAAAACGCGTCATATGACGTACGAAAACCAAGGTTTGTCGACAAACCTCCTTTGTGAATTCGGGCCACTATGTTTGACATATACTCTTTTGTCACGTATAAAATGTTCAATGATTTGTTTGTTATATATTTGTAAAACTGTTAAAGAAAAAAAATCAAACAGAAATAAATAAATCAAATCAAATCGAATCAAAAAGACCAAGGGATAGAACAATGAAAGACGAGATGAAGAAGACAAACAAATGTGATTCATTATGAATAGTTAGAAAAGAAAGGGAGTATCTGATCAAGCAGAATAAAGATGTTATTTCTTTCTAGGCAGTGTACATGTAATATCTCCTTGAGACTATTGACAAACTACCGTGTGAGTCAAAAAAAAGTTTACACCTATAAAATCACTAATTATTTAAAAAATAATCTATGAACAGTACAATATGATACATCTTATGAAAGAGCGTTTTATCCCAAATCAATTGGTATCATTGTTGTGTGGTATGTGTTCATGCTTGGATGAACAGGGAGCATTGTTTGCGAGAGTGCAAAAATCGACTTGCGCCAAAGTGATGCCTACAGTATGTGATATGTTGGGATTAAAGTGAGAGAAGGAATTGAATGTATCAAATGAGATGCGTTGCATATGCTTTTTGCAGAAGCAAAGTCACAAACACAAACACACACACGCTCACAAATGTTTGTTGATATTTTATATTAGATATTTGATATGTGTGGCATGATTAATTTTGTTGGGGATGGTATTTGGATCTGCAATGACCGAATTAATACCCAAATCCCAATTGTTTTATTCAAACATCACAAACGCAACTTTGGCGCACGTCGATTTTTGCACTCTCGCAAACAATCCCTCCTGTTCATCCAAGCGTGAACACATACCACACAAAAATGAAACTAAATGATTCGGGATAAAACACTCTTTTATAAGATGTTTAATAATTTACTGTTCATAGATGATATATGAAATAATTGGCAAATTTCTAGGTGTAAACTTTTTTTGGACTCACATTGTATAAATAATTTCAAAAAACAAAATGCAAATTTCTATTTATAGGATACGTGCTTTAAAAACACACATTTAAATGAATTTATTCATTATAACATGAAAATCCAGTCTATTCACATGACTCATGCTTTTATTTATATGAAGATAATAGTGACGAATGATAACAAATCATTTCTAATTTTTTTTTAATGTGAAAAACATTTATCCACATATGTTTAGTTTGAAGATTGCAAAACTGTTGGGGTAAAAAAATTGTTTCCAATACAAATCGTGTTCGGGTGTACCTTTGTATTTGATGCCTCAGAGCCCAACGTTGAGTAGAACCCATCACTCAGCTTCACATCGATCAGACTCAGTGATCGGAGATGAGGCATGGAGCAGAGACATCTCCCGTAGAGAGAGGATACAGCAGAACCCAGATCTGCGTTCCTGTGTGTTAGATCCTTAATCTGGTGATGTGACAGGACAGGTTGAATAGAGTGAATAGTGATATCAAGAATAGACGACATGACTAATTCAAATATTTGTCATTGTCATAAATGTAACATCATTGACCTCTGCTTAGACTTTTAAAGCAAGGAAAAGAGAAAAGGAGAGGGAAGAGAAAAGGAGAGGGAAGAGCAAAGGAGAGGGAGAGAGAGAGGCAGAGAGAGAGGCAGAGAGAGAGAGAGAGAGACAGACAGAGACAGAGATAGAGAGAGATGAGGGGCTAAATCAAGTATAG